CCTAAAAACCCCCGAGTAGCAAGTTTCAAGCGAATCTGATCAAATTTTAATAAAAATGTCCGCCATATTGGATCCGCCATCTTGAATTTTGAAAATTTTTAAAATCTGACTTCAGATTCGTAATCATTGACCCCAAAAACCCCCGAGTAACAAGTTTCAAGCAAATCTGATAATTTAAAAAAATTTGGTCGCCATATTGGATCCGCCATTTTGAATTTTTAAAATATGACTTTATATTCGTAATCAGCGACCCCAAAAACCCCCGAGTAGCAAGTTTCAAGCGAATCTGATCAAATTTTAATAAAAATGTCCTCCATATTGGATCCGCCATCTTGAATTTTGAAAATTTTTAAAATCTGACTTCAGATTAGTAATCATCGACCCCAAAAACATAAGAGTGACCCATTATTTAACAAGTTGCAATTATTTTCTCAAGGTAATTAATACATTTGTTTGCTGAGTTAGTAAAAAAATTTGCAAAACATGGTACAGTAAGGACGCCATTTTAAATTTTTTAATTCGCCAGTTTTTATTCGAAGCAGTATGAGCTGACGATTATTTTGAGCCGTAATAAGTTGATTTTCGTTGGTTAGAATTTTGTATGGAGCTCTGTGCCGGTTGACGTGAATCGTCCCATATATATATATACTCATTCTCCTGAGTGCAAGTGTACTCATGAAAACAGTATTTATCTTTCTTATATTTTTCTTTACCCATGTATATATATATATACTAAAATGAAACGTTATATTTTTGAAATTAAATGGTACTCTACTTTTTCCTTTATTTGCATTTAAATAAATATAATCTATTGACTATTGGAATAACTCTTCACTGGAACATTTGCATCATACAATCCCCCAGGGGAAAGTAAAATTGTTATTTCGTTATAAAAAAAGGCGTGCACAAGATAGTCAGTTATTTCTTATATTTTCATGTTTGTTTACATTTCACATGTTGGACTTACCCTTAAGTGTGTTTTGAAATTTTTTGTAATATTACCGGTTAATATTGCTGTAATATTACATTACTATTACTGTAATTTATCAGTAATATTAACCTGTAATATTACCATGAGGCGGACATTATAATATTACCGGATAATATTACTGCAATATTACATGCTACTTGAGTATGAAGTTTTCAGGTATAAAAAATGAGTAAGCGGTATCAAATAAACCCTCATCAGTTATTTGATCGACTTTTTTTATGAAATTAAAGGTTTTTTTATTTCCTACCCAATGGTATAACACTGTTCACGAAAATATCAAAAAGTGACATAGTTGAAAATGAAAAAGTTCAGTATCTCTATCTGATGCATGGAGTGGTGCAAGCAACGTTTCTATGTCACTCTTCTAACTCGCGTTCAAAACTTTACCTCTAAAATGTAGGCCATTATATTTATTCAAGTATTTTCACTAATTGCCTGAAACGCAATGGTCATTAATTAAACTGCCTAGTCAGTTGACACACTGACTGCTAGGTCCTATTTCAATAGTCACTTCAATTCCCTACCAAAAATTACCAGAGTTCACTACTGGCGCGGTACTGGTACCAATATCGCGCCACTCCTGGTAGTACTGGCGCTGTAATTAATTTTTGATAGGGTTTGATAACCCTTAAAGTACACACTGAGTACAAATCGCCCATATGTTTTTTAAAATTACGATTCTTTTTTAAAAACATGTCACAATTCACAAAATACACAACGCTTTTAATATTCTTTTATCTTTTTCAAATCATTAATTAAAGATCTAATATTTTCCAGAAAACTTCCTTACATATTCATGAATATTGTCACTGGAACTTTTTCAATTTTCAAATGTGTTTTCAATTTTAGAATAGTTTAAAGAATATTCTTAAAAATGACGTTTTTTGTAAGTGTAAATAAACAAAAAACAGTAAGTTATAAAAAAATTATTATTTTGGAAAACAGATGCGCAATAAAATTCTTTACAAAAAACAATAATTGAAATTTAATTTTGAATAATTTCAAAATTTTACCTCCAGGGGCCAACGTTTTTCATTAGTTTTCGCATATGCTCTTTTAAGATCCACAGCCTCAATTAATAAAATAACTAAAAAATTATTCATGTGCACACGGAGATAAATAGATGGTGTTACAAACGAATTTCGTAACTTTTTAAAATTTTCAATTTTAAATAAAAGATACTTAAATTCAATTAATTATTGTAAGATTTAAATCACATAGTGATTTAAATTCTTTTTCTACTTATAATAAATTACAGATGGAATTATAAATAATATCAAACACAAACACAATTTTTCAAATTAATTTATAAATAAATTAAGAAACAAGTAGCTGTTCTCATTTTAGTATTGTTAAATAAATATCGAGAATATTAAGAAATAAAAGGTAAAGAACCTCAATATAGAATAAAAGAGCTCATTTTAACAAAGTTTCGTAAATAAAGTTCCATCATTTCACAAATCAATATACAATTGAGCAATATAATTGCTCAATACAAGGAGTGGCTCATCGAAGGTGGATCACGCCACTACCCCAAAATTGCAAGGTTGCAAGAAGCGACTTAGCGACAGACAATTTCAGTATATTTTTCCCACTCTTTCATCAATGAATAAAACCAATTGTAATTGTAAATTAGGGGCAGTTGAGTTAAGGTAGAGGTTTTGAGAGTTTGAGGTGTCAAGTGGAGACGGTGTTACAACCCGGAGTTTGGGGTTGATCAAAGTGTGTATTGTAAAAGATTTCTCTAAGTGGAGAAATTCTTTTAGTTGGATTGATTTATTGAAGTATTGATTTTGTGATTATTGATTATTGGTTTATATTATATTGTTGATCTGTTAAATATTGATTGTCATTTATGGAATATCGATTTATTGAGTTATTGAATTGAGGATTATTAAATATTGGAATATTGAATTGTCATTTAAGGAATATCGATTTATTGAGTTATTGAATATTGATTATTGAATTGAGGATTCTTGAATATTGGAATATTGATTGATTATTGAGGAATATTGATTTAAATATTATTGATTTGATTTTGGTGAGTTCTAATGCATTATATTTACACTACACAGACATTCACACTATTCAACACATTATTTTGATACATGTACTAAAAGCATTTGATTCTATTTTATAAAATACATGTTTTTCTTTGAAGTTTAAATTGTGATTTCTATATTTGAACCATTCTCATATTTCCTTTTTTTCTGATTAATCAAATTAAGAATACAATAAGAATACGAATCTCAAACGACGTTCTGAATAATAGAATGGTAGTAGGAGGAATCCACTACCTTTATAATTAAATTTGTCCGAAGGGCATGTTGTTGGCCTACCGGAATTTGTAATAAGAAAAGCTATTTTTTGTTTTTATGATTGATTTCCAATAAAAACCTAAAACCTTTTCCCATCAAATTCTAACCCTAACAGATGGTAAGAACTTATGATCTTAAGATGGTAAAAAGTAGATGTTATCCGAAACTATCATTATGCTACTCGGTACTATCAAAGATATTTAAAAAAAGTATACCCAAGAAGCACGTAATATAACCTCAACATCAAGGTAATAATACATGTAAGATTCGTAATATAACGTTGTAATATTACAGTAATCTTACAGTGATCTTAAAATGTCCGCCTCAAGGTAATATTGCAGTAATATTATGCCGTAATATTAAGGTAATATTACAAGAGAATATTACAGTAATATTATGGGAACATTTCTTTACGAAAAAAATCTACCCATCCAGGGAATCGAACCCCGAACTCAAAGCACACGAGTCCAGAGTTTTACCAACAAGCCAAATTGACTTATAATATATTTACGTTTTTTATGCTTTATGAATTACTCAAATCAGTCTGTAACATTACCTTAATATTAGCGCGTAATATTACAGTAATATTCCCGGTAATATTACCTTGAGGCGGACATTTTAAGATCACTGTAAGATTACTGTAATATTACAGCGTTATATTACGAATCTCACGTGTAATATTACCTTGATATTGAGGATATATTACGTGCTTCTTGGGTAGTTATGTTACCCACTAAGTAGTGTTGCAAGGGGGGTTCTGGCTCACTTACCGACCGAGGTCGGTAATGTAGAAATCTACTTACCGACCGAGTTAGTTCCGGCTGCCACCGCTAGATGGCGCCACCGGCCAATTCAACCCCCCCTTGGCGGGAAATTTGAATTTTTAAAAGTGGCTTGGCATTTTACCGGCCAATTCAACCCCCCTTGGCGGGAAATTTGAATTTTTAAAAGTGGCTTGGCTTTTTGCCGGCCAATTCAACCCCCCTTGGCGGGAAATTTGAATTTTTAAACTTTTGTGTTCAAGTGGCTTGGTGTTCTACATTACCGACCGAGTTAGTTCCAGCTGCCACCGCAAGATGGCGCCATTTTATTTTACCTATTTTAAAGTTAATTTAAAGTTTAAAATTTCAATGTATATATCTAAACCTGTATGGAAAAAACATCGAGAGGGATCCCCATTGCTGGTTGCGTCTATGCCGCTGCCAGTGCTGGGTTCATATGCTGAGTATCGTCTCTCCCCGCATCGATGTGAACTCAGCCGGGGACTCCCTCCCATGCCTACAGCAGAGCGCGCAGCGGCAGTCCCACCTGGTTGCGCGCGTCGCTTGAGTAGTGGGGCGCGTCATAGTGGGGAGCGCGGTAGTGGGGTGCCTCATAGTGGGAAGTAGGGTATATAGCACAGCGCTCGGGCCACCAGCATCACTGCTTTCTGTTTACAGGTCTAGCGCAGTACTTCCACAGCATTCCAGCTTTTCATTTCAGCTTTTTTTCTATTCTAGGTTCTCTTTTTTTATTTCAGATTTTGTTTTTCGTTTATTATTTTTATTTCAGGTGGTGGGTATTTTGGTTTTAGTTTTAGGTTTTTTTTTCTTTTCAGGTAGTGGGTATTTTGTTTTAAGTTTTTTTTTCTTTTCAGGAGGTGGTGGGTTTTTTTCTATTTTAGGTATTTTTTTTTAGATTTATCTTTTAAGATGCCTAAATGTAAGGCGGTAAAAAAGTCTCGGCAACGAATCGAGATTGATGAATTTATTGAAATTTGTCAGGAATCTGACAACTTTATTAAATCCGCGGAGCAGCAGCTCATTATTACAATGTCAATGGCGGTTGATGAGAAGCTCATTACCGCATTCGAATGGCAAAATAAGTGTCAAAAGTATAAAAATATTTTTAGAAATTTTTTGCGAAGATCATCTTTAACTACTTCTCAAAGATCTAGATGTTTGAATTTAGATCAAAAATTAGAATACTTGCGTTGCCATTTTGATGCTCTAATGAAACGTGGTGCGGGTGTGCAAGTGACTAATTCTAGAATGAAATGGGTGGATTTTGATGAAGCATTCGATAATCGTTTGCAAACCAGTGCTATTATAAATTTAGATTACAAGGATATTAACGAGTTCCTTGATGATGCCTACGCTTTATTTAAATTAAATATTAAAAAAGCATTAAACAAGTATGGTCCTTTAAAAGTGTATACTGTGTTGGGTGCGAAATTTAAAAAAGATTTAATTAATGGTAAAGAAGAACAATCCGACTTAAAAACTTTTATCGCGAAAACGGATGAAATTTTATTAACAACCCCGTTAGATGACTGGTACAATGTTAATGTTAAACAAATAACTTTGAAAAGAATCGAAGAATTCCAGGAGAAGGACTCTAACTGGAAACTTGATTCAATTCATAGGTTAGAGGTTAACATTAACAAATTTAACCCTATGCGCGCAAGTTCCTACATCAATTTACCATCTTCTATTAATAAAAAACATGCTTGTGTTAATATAAAAAATAGTGATAATCAATGCTTTAAATGGGCAATTTTATCTGCTTTACATCAAGTTGAAAAGAACGCGGAACGAGTTTCAAAGTATAAGTCTTATGAAGGTGATCTTAATTTTTTAGGAATTGAGTTTCCTGTTGCCCTCAAAGATATTTCAAAATTTGAGTCTCAAAACGTTAATATTTCAGTTAATGTCTATGGTTTGTCGAAAAAGAAAGAAAATTTTAGTGTCTATCCTCTACACCTTACATCACAAAAGAGAATAAATCATATTAATCTTTTACGCATAGAAGATCATTACATTGATGAAAGTCTTAGCGCAGAAGAGGAAGATGATTTACCAATCATATCTTTTAACTACCACTATGTCTGGATAAAAGATCTATGCAGATTAGTTGGATCACAGCTTTCGAAGAATAAAAATAGAAAGTTTATTTGTGATCGTTGCCTTCATTATTTTAGAGACAAATTGCAGCTTACAGAACACGAGGAAACATGCAAAAAATTAAATGATACAAGGATCAGATTACCGCAACCAGGTAAAAATACTGTTGAGTTTAAGAATTATCAAAATAAGGAGCGCGTGCCTTTTATCATTTATGCTGATTGTGAGAGTCTTTTGATTCCTGCGGAAGCACCACAAGAAGCATGCAATACTGAGGTTTTGCAAAATCATAAAACGCTCAGTATTGGATATTATTTAAAGTGTGGCTTTGATGACTCATTGTCCACATATAAAGCATCCCCAAAAGATGAAGAAGATCCTGCTAAATGGTTTTCAAAAGAGTTAAAAAATTTAGCAGATAAAGCAGAGCTCATTTTAAAGAATTTTAAACCCATGCAAGCATTAACCTCACAAGAATTAGTTGATTTTAAAAATGCTAATACTTGTCATATTTGTCAACAGAAAATCGTGCAAGGTGAAGTTAAAGTAAGAGACCACAACCATCTAACAGGGAAGTACCGAGGTGCTGCGCATCAAAATTGCAATGTTAATTATCATGAATCACCGACCATACCTGTTGTTTTTCATAACCTTAGCGGTTATGACGCTCATTTTATTATTAAAGCTATTGCTACTGAGTTTGAAGGTAGAGTTGATCTACTTCCTATAAACAAAGAAAAGTATATCAGCTTTACAAAAAAATATTAAAAATAGTTTAATCAAATTTCGATTCATTGATTCCTTTAAATTCATGGCATCATCATTGGACAAGTTAGCGTCCTATCTCAACGAATATAAAATTGTTAATTCAGTTTTTTCCAATTACAGCCACGACAAAATTCAATTGTTAACGCGAAAAGGAGTTTTTCCCTATGAGTACATTGACTCGAGGGAAAAGCTCGATAAAACTCAATTACCGTCAAAAGAAAATTTTTATAGCACTTTGAATGATTCTAATATTTCAGATAATGATTATGTACATGCGCAAAATGTGTGGAGTGAATTCAACTGTCAAAATCTTGGTGCTTATGGGTATTTGTACATGCAAACCGATGTATTGTTAATCGCGGATATTTTTGAAAATTTCAGGGATCAGTGTTTACTCGCGTACGGTCTTGATCCTGCGCATTATTATACAACGCCAGGACTGACATGGGATGCCATGTTAAAGTATACGAATATAAGATTGGAACTCCTCACAGACATCGACATGGTAATGTTTATTGAACGCGGAATAAGAGGTGGAGTAAGTCAATGCACCAATCGATACGCGAAAGCTAATAATCCGTACATGGAGAAATATGATGCAAGTGAGGAGACATCTTATAACGTATACTTTGACGCAAACAACCTATATGTTTGGGCCATGATTCAGTCGCTTCCCTTTGGTGGCTTCGAGTGGGTAGAAAATGTTGACAATAATTTTGATTTTAATGTTGCAGATGATGCACCAATTGGTTACATTTTAGAAGTCGACTTAGATTACCCCGAGGAATTACATGATAAACATAGTGACTTTCCGTTTTGCCCTGAACGCTCGAAGCCACCAGGGTCCAAAGAGGAGAAGCTCCTAACTACCCTTCTACCGAAGAGAAAGCACGTTCTCCATTACCGAGCATTGAAACAAGCTATTACCAACGGCCTTATTTTAATTAAAATTCATCGCGTTTTAAAATTTAATCAATCCACATGGTTAAAAAGCTACATTGATTTCAATACCATGCGAAGAACTAATGCTAACAATGAATTCGAGAAAAACTTATTTAAACTAATGAACAATGCGGTATTCGGAAAAACAATGGAGAACGTGCGAAAACATGTAGACATTAAACTTGTGACAAAGTGGGAGGGTAGATATGGAGCTGAAGCCTTAATCTCAAAACCTAATTTCCACAGCAGGGCCATTTTCAATGAAAATTTGGTTGCTGTGGAACTTAGAAAAGTAGAAGTTCTAATGAACAAGCCACTATATGTTGGCTTAACCGTTTTAGACGTTTCAAAAACTTTAATCTACGATTTTCACTATGATTATATTTTAAAAAAGTATGACAAAACAAACTGTAAGTTATTGTATACCGACACCGACAGTCTGATTTATGAAATTAAATGTTGTGACATCTTCGCAGACATGAAAGCAGATATCCACAAATACGACACTTCCGATTACCCTGTAAATAACGTTTACGGTATTCCGCAAGCCAACAAAAAAATTTTAGGTTTAATGAAAGATGAGTGCAGTGGAAAAATTGTTACTGAATTTGTTGGCTTGCGGAGCAAAATGTACAGTGTGCGAGTGGAAGATCAAGATTTTATTAAAAAAGCAAAAGGTGTGAAATCTGCGGTTGTAAAGAAAACTATTACCTTTGATGACTACACATATTGTTTACGAAATGTTAAAATGCAATCGCGAACTCAATATTGTATCAGATCGAAACTTTACAATGTTCAAACATTAAAACAAACAAAAATAGCTTTAAGTCCTTACGACGATAAAAGATTTCTGTTATCCAATAGTACCGATACCCTTGCATGGGGACATTGTAAAATTACACAAATTAATGATGAAGCTATGGAATTGTAAATAAATGATGATTTGGAAATATAAAGGTGTTTTAATAAAAGATACTGTACACTTCATATTATGTTTATTTATTAGAACCTTAATCTAGTTACATTTTTAACTTTATTTTAACTATTTTTAACTTATTTTTAACTATTTTTAACTTCATTTTAACTAATTTTAAATATTTTTAACTTTATTTTAACTATTTTTAAATATTTTTAACTTTATTTTAACTATTTTTAACTTATCTTTAACTATTTTTAACTTTTTTTTAACTATATTTAACTTTATTTTAACTATTTTTAACTTATCTTTAACTATTTTTAACTTTTTTTAACTTTATTTTAACTATTTTTAACTATTTTTAACTTATCTTTAACTATTTTTAAATATTTTTAACTTTATTTTAACTATTTTTAACTTATCTTTAACTATTTTTAACTTTTTTTAACTTTATTTTAACTATTTTTAACTATTTTTAACTTATCTTTAACTATTTTTAAATATTTTTAACTTTATTTTAACTATTTTTAACTTTTTTTAACTATATTTAACTTTATTTTAACTATTTTTAACTATTTTTAACTTATCTTTAACTATTTTTAACTTTTTTTAACTATATTTGACTTTATTTTAACTATTTTTAACTTTATTTTAACTATATTTAACTTTATTTTAACTATTTTTAACTTTATTTTAACTATTTTTAACTATTTTTAACTTATCTTTAACTATTTTTAACTTTTTTTAACTTTATTTTAACTATTTTTAACTATTTTTAACTTATCTTTAACTATTTTTAACTTTTTTTAACTATATTTGACTTTATTTTAACTATTTTTAACTTATCTTTAACTATTTTTAACTTTATTTTAACTATTTTTAACTTTATTTTAACTATTTTTAACTTTATTTTAACTATTTTTAACTTATCTTTAACTATTTTTAACTTTATTTTAACTATATTTAACTTTATTTTAACTGTTTTTAAATTCACAATATTACCCTTATGGAAATTTAAATCTAAACTTTGATCAAAATCAGTATGCTCTGCTTTATGAAATGTATGCTAATTTTCAAACATCTTACTATGGAAAAGACTCAGAACCTATTTTAACAAGGGCTATTTTTAAACAACTATTTCCTCTAATTGTTATTGATTGTTCAAAACAAAATGAGTTTCTTAAACAAGCATCAGTAGATGTACGTTTAGAATTTGAATCAGGAAATAATATGCCAGCTGAGACCACTGCATATTGCCTCATTATCCATGACCGCGTTGTACAATATAAACCAATCAGCGGCGTAGTCAAGAAGTTGCTGTAGAGGAGTGGGGATAAAGTGGTATGGGGGTATAATGCAGTATAAATGCAGTTGTTCTCAGTCAAAAATTCATTTCTGTTTCAACATGGAGTTCATCGTAGACGTCCAAGGATTTAAAAGACCCTACAACGATTTTATTTTCAAAGAGTTGGCAATACTTCCTCTTCAACCAGATGCTCAACCACTTGTCTACCTATTTGAATCACCTTGTACGTGGAATTCATTGCCAGGACGCTATAAAAGTGAAAATCGCTGGTTAACACACAATTACCATGGAATAGATTGGACAGCTGGAGACGTCTCATACGATGAACTTCGTCCCATCCTACAAGATGTATTACGAGGCGCTAGTGTCATCTATGTAAAAGGATTAGAAAAGAAGACATGGCTAGAAAAATTTTTGGAAATGTACAAAATTTAGAAGATTTTGAATGTCCATCGTTGAAAAAAATTAGAAGTGATTTGTTAACATGTACGCATCATACTCGTTATAATGATAATTGCGCTGTAAAAAATGTAAAGATTCTTCGCGGTTGGTTTTTGGATCCTCCAAACCAATATATAAGTGCTATTGTTAAAGAAACTGATGAAGTGGATTCTACGTATACTAATTTAAAATCTTTCTATGAAAATTGTGAATATATTTAATAAGTTTTTTTAAATAAATAAATAAATATTAATTTTAAATTTAAATAAAAATCTCTGTTAATTTTAAAAACCTATCCCTTTAATTAATTTAAATTTTATTTGATAATTCATGAAAATAAACTAATTCTATTGCTTAAAATTAACTTATGTTAGGGAAAAAGTAAATTTAAAACAAATTTATAGGTAAAACTTTTTGTTTTTATTTTTAACATTCTTTTTGTAATAAATATATATACAATTATTTATTTTAAAAATTGAAATTCAACAATATTGTATGTTCCTCCAAGATATTTCATTTGAAGCTGCTTGGCTATTGCTGCTTCTTGCATCATTTCCAGAGAGCTGGGTTCTTCTTCAAAGTGTTTGGCGAATCTCGATGGTAAATAGGTGATGAAATCAGCATTCACTTCTACAATGATTCTTGGTCCATATTTGGTTTGCACCTTCTTCATTTTCGTAATATAATATAAACCATTTTTCGTCATCTCGGATAGAGGTTTCGTTGGCAAGTAACCTTCGAAACGTCCAACTGCGTTGACTTTTTCGAGATCCATTTTTTCTATGAAACAACACCTGAAGCTGAAAGATTACCTTAAACAAAATAAAAATAAAACACTGTAGAGTTAGAAAAAAAAATATAACTGAAAAGAAAACTTAGAAATAAACCTGAAATAAAAACTGAAGAAATTTAACTAAAAGAAAACTTACAAATAAACCTAAAATATAAACTTAGAAAATTTATCTAGAAATAAAAAAAACTTAGAAATAAATATGAAATAGAATCTTAGAAATAAACCTGAAATAGAAACTTAAAAAATAAACCTGAAATAGAAACTTAAAAAAATAAAGATGAAATGGAAACTTAGAAATAAACCTGAAATAGAAACTTAGAAAATAAAGCTGTAAAAGAAAAGAAATGTTAAAATAGATAACTGATTATACTTACTGTTAATTGTAAAACCTGAAATAAGAATGACCTAATGCTATGAAAAAGTCGCTTTATATTACTGCAATTCCTCACTTATTGTATAAACCCCACCACATTTCTCAATGCGCACGCAAATTTACCCCCACTACACTATTCGTTGTCTTTTACGTGCGTAAAAGACCCCACCATATTTTGAATGCGCGCGCAAATGTACTCCGTCTTAATATGTGCTTAAGTTATGCATGCTAAAATTAAATCGATTTTTAAAAAATTAAATACATTAATTTAGAAATCAATTGTTTTATTAAAATTTATAATTTATGGTGAAGGTGGTGGTGATGCGTCTGGAATTTCCATGTTTATTTGAATAATTTGTAATATATCTGCTGTCGCAGGATAGGCCTCTAGCAGCTCAGCCATCTAAAAGAAAAAATATTATTTTAACATTACTTAAAAATTAAATTGATTCAAAATACAATTTCCCAACATACTTCTTCGGGATCAATGTTGAAGACAAGACAATCATCATCATCATCATCATCATCATCATCGCTGATGATGATTGTCTCACCTTGACTGTCGTATTTATCATCAACTTCATCATCATCATCTTCACCATCATTTTCAGCATCTTCATAGTTGTTGTGAGCATATTCGTCAAAAATACATTCGGGATCAATGTCGACGACAAGACAATCATCATCATCAACAACATTATCATCATCTTCATAGTTGTTGTGAGCATATTTATCAAAAATACATATAACATCTTCTTCTTCTTCCTCTTCAATATTTTGCGAATGATTAAATTGATCCATTTTTCTAAAAATAAAAAACTTTAATTTATTATAAAAATCGCGAAAGTTTACTTCAGAAAAGAAAGTTAAGGGGAGGCACTACCCCCAATTTTGACCCACTTAAATTTAAATTATTAAATGAGGTTATATTTTTTTTCTTGCATCATTTGGGTCCTAAAAACATATAAGGAGGTCAAAAAAAGAAAATTTTAATTTTTGACCATTTTAGAATTTTTATTTTTTGAAAAAATTAATATTTTTGAAAATCCATGCGAGAGATTCTGACAAATCATTAAAAAAGTGTGGAAAAAATTTGACGATGAAAAATACTTAAAATTGTGAAAGAAGATACATATTTAATAGGAGAGTGCAATGATGTTTTAACTTATATTTTTCGCTCTTTTTTTGAAAAAATTAAAATTTTTGAAAATCCATGCGAGAGATTCTTAAGAATCATTAAAAAAAGCGTGGAAAAAAATTGGCGATGAAAAATAGTCAAAATTGTAAAAAAAAGATAGATATTTAAAATATTAATTTTTTTAAGACTTTAATTTCTAAAATGGTCGTAAATTAAAATTTCATTTTTTGGACCATCCTGTATGTTTTTAAGACCCAAATGATGCAAGAAAAAAAATAGAACCTCGTTTAATAATGTAAATTAAAGTGGGTCAAAATTGGGGGTAGTGCCTCCCTTTAACAATTGATATAAGTTTAATTAAATACAATAAAATAAAGGAAAAATAAGCTAACTGAATTTAAAAAGAAAAAATAGCTGAACAAATACTAAAAATATAGAGGAGGTTTAATGTGTAATGAAATAATAAGAAATGAAATCTAAAATAAAATATAACAGAAATAAAGCGAATAATTGAAATAAAATATAAGAAATAAAACGAATAATTGAAATAAAATATAAAATATATGAAATAAAAGGAAAACTGAAATAAATAAGAGGAAAAGAAATTTGAAATAAGTTAAAAAAATAAAAATCGATAACTAAAAAAAAAAGTTTCTAAAGGAAGACAGAACCTAAAATAGAACAATTCCTAGAAGAGAGTAAGAAGACCTGAAAGAGAAAAGACCTGGAAGAGACATTTACCTAGAATGTTCGAAGCTGAATGAAAGAATGACTCTGGTGGCTGGCGGTCTTCACTGTATACCAGCGCTCCCCACCACGGCGCTCCCCACTAGGACGTGCCCCACCACCTGGCTGGCGCACGCAACTTGTCATACCCCTCTTCGACTCACACGACTTTATTTAATTATTTTTTGAAAAAAAACAACTGGTAATTATTTTAATAAATGAGAATTGTTTTAATTCAAATATTCAAATTCATTGAATATTCAAATATATATGTTTAAAAAAAACACCTGTGAAAAATGTTACCTCTTATTTCTTTTTTAAAACTTTAATACTAAAAATCGTTCTTAATAATTAAAATACTGCTTGACCAAGGTACAGAAATGTTCAATCTTTTAGAGTTTAATTAAATTTAATGATTTAGAGCTTAAGAAATTAAATTTTTCTTATTATTTACATCTAACTAAACTGAATTTTTCTAAAAAGTCATTCATATGAATGACTTAATGTTATATTATTAATATTATTTAAAATTAATTTACTAAGTAACTTATAAGTTTTATTAAGATAAATTTTATTTAAAATAAAGGATAGGGTTAAAATAAATGCAAAGAAGTAATTTTCTTTATAAATATATGTCTCGATAAACGAAAAGAATTTTTTTATAAGGATAACATTATAACCTTCAAACACAATGTATTATAATTCGCATATATGTAATTTTCATATATGTACATGAAAAATTATAAAAAGTTTATTTTTTAAAAAATGTATTTAAATTATTTTTAAAAAAAATGTATTTCTTTTGAAACTTTGAAATGAAACATTTTTTGCCCCTCTCCATAGTTTTGAAAGAAAAAACTATATAAATATATTTTTTTAAACTAATTTTAATTTTTTTTTTTAAGTTATTTTTTACTTTTTTTAACCTTTACATCGGTTTTATCAAATGGCTTTTGCCGTTTACTTCTCGTCTGAATTTTTTTCGGCCTTGTTGGTGTACGTAAACATGGATCGTTTACATCCAACATTATACTTTTTGACGTTGAAGGAGTCGGCTTTGAAGTCAATAATTTCGACGTTGAAGGCTTTAAGACTGACACTTTTGTCGTTGTTCCAACATTTAAAGGAGTTGGAATCAATGTTAAGTTTTTGTTATTGTTATTTCTATTTTTCGAAGACGTTGAAGAACTGGATTCAGATGATGAACTGGATTCTGATGACGAACTGGATTCTGATGAGGAACTGGATTCTGATGACGAACTGGATTGTGACACCTTTGGAGGAGACACCTTTGGAGAAGACACCTTTGGAGAAGACACCTTTGGAGAAGACACCTTTGGAGAAGACACCTTTGGAGAAGACACCTTTGGAGAAGACACCTTTGGAGAAGACACCTTTGGAGAAGACACCTTTGGAGAAGACACCTTTGGAGAAGACACCTTTGGAGGAGACACCTTTGGAGGAGACACCTTTGGAGGAGACACCTTTGGAGGAGACACCTTTGGAGGAGACACCTTTGGAGGAGACACCTTTGGAGGAGACACCTTTGGAGGAGACACCTTTGGAGGAGACACCTTTGGAGGAGACACCTTTGGAGGAGACACCTTTGGAGGAGACACCTTTGGAGGAGACACCTTTGGAGGAGACACCTTTGGAGGAGACACCTTTGGAGGAGACACCTTTGGAGGAGACACCTTTGGAGGAGACACCTTTGGAGGAGACAACTTTGGAGGAGACACCTTTGGAGGAGACACCTTTGGAGGAGACACCTTTGGAGGAGACACCTTTGGAGGAGACACCTTTGGAGGAGACACCTTTGGAGGAGACACCTTTGGAGGAGACACCTTTGGAGGAGACACCTTTGGAGGAGACACCTTTGGAGGAAACACATTCACATTTTTACTCAGGAGTAGTTCCTTTGGAGTAGGAATATATGCATCCTTTTTATTAATTGGAACATATTGTTCCACTGGCTCCCACCTACTCTTCCGACGTTGAAAATCATTCTCCTTTTCCTGTAGAAATATAAAAGATTTAGAATTTCATAATTATGAATGAAGAATAACAAAACTAATGGGACTTGATGAAAAATAGAATAATATATAACATAAAAAAAATAATTAAGGTGTATAAAAACAGTAAGTGTAAAATAATTAAATTGAAAAATATGTAAAAATATTCAGAGTATAAAATAATAATAATTAAATTGTATAAAATATATAAAATAAAAAAATAATTAAAGTGTAAAATAATTAAATTGAAAAATATGTAAAAATATTCAGAGTATAAAATAATTATAATTAAATTGTATAAAATATATAAAATGAAAAAAAAAAATTTTAAAGTGTATAAAAACAGTAAATGTAAAAATAAATAAATTGATAAAATATGTAAAAATAATCAGAGTATAAAATAATAATTAAATTGTATAAAATTTATAAAGTGAAAAAATAATTAAAGTGTATAAAAACGGTAAATGTAAAAATAAATAAATTGATAAAATATTCAGAATATATAATAATAATAATTAAATTGTATAAAATATATAAAATGAAAAAATAATTAACGTGTATAAAAACGGTAAATGTAAAAATAAATAAATTGAAAAAATATTCAGATTATAAAATAATAATTAAATTGTATAAAATATATAAAGTGAAAAAATAATTAAAGTGTATAAAAACGGTAAATGTAAAAATAAATAAATTGATAAAATATGTAAAAATAATCAGAGTATAAAATAATAATTAAATTGTATAAAATTTATAAAGTGAAAAAATAATTAAAGTGTATAAAAACGGTGAATGTAAAAATAAATAAATTGAAAAATATTCAGAATATAAAATAATAATTAAATTGTATAAAATATAAGAAGTGAAAAAATAATTAAAGTGTATAAAAACGGTAAATGTTAAAATAAATTAATTGAAAAAATATATAAAATGAAAAAATAATTAAAGTGTATAAAAACGGTAAATGTAAAAATAAATAAATTGAAAAAATATTCAGAATATATAATAATAATAATTAAATTGTATAAAATATATAAAGTGAAAAAAATAATTAAATTAAGGTGTATAAAAACGGTAAGTGTAAAAAAAAATAAATTGAAAAAATATGTAAAAATAATCAGAGTATAAAATAATAATTAAATTGTATAAAATTTATAAAGTGAAAAAAAAATAATTAAGGTGTATCAAAACGGTAAATGTAAAAATAAATAAATTGATAAAATATGTAAAAATAATCAGAGTATAAAATAATAATTGAATTGTATAAAATATATAAAGTAAAAAAATAATTAAATTAAGGTGTATAAAAACGGTAAGTGTAAAAAAAATAAATTGAAAAATATGTAAAAATAATCAGAGTATAAAATAATAATAATTAAATTGTATAAAATTTATAAAGTAAAAAAATAATTAAAGTGTATAAAAACGGTAAATGTAAAAATAAATAAATTGAAAAAATATTCAGAATATAAAATAATAATTAAATTGTATAAAATATATAAAGTGAAAAAATAATTATGTGTATAAAAACGGTAAATGTAAAAATAAATTAATTGAAAAAATATATAAAATGAAAAAATAATTAAAATGTATAAAAACGGTAAATGTAAAAATAAATAAATTGAAAAAATATTCAGAATATATAATAATAATTAAATTGTATAAAATATATAAAGTGAAAAAATAATTAAATTAAGGTGTATAAAAACGGTAAGTGTAAAAATAAATAAATTGAAAAAATATGTAAAAATAATCAGAGTATAAAATAATAATTAAATTGTATAAAATTTATAAAGTGAAAAAAAATAATTAAGGTGTATAAAAACGGTAAATGTAAAAATAAATAAATTGATAAAATATGTAAAAATAATCAGTATAAAATAATAATTGAATTGTATAAAATATATAAAGTAAAAAAATAATTAAATTAAGGTGTATAAAAACGGTAAATGTAAAAATAAATAAATTAAAAAAATATTCAGAATATATAGGGTCAACCGGGGTAAATCCGAACGCTTTTAGTAAGTTTCAACAATATCATAAGTTTTTTCTTTAAAAAAAAAATACTTCCGGTATTCTGGTGCATGAAGTTGTTACTTTACTTCCATAGAATAATTTTATGGGGTAGAAAAAATTTTTGATAAATTACAATCGCAGGAAACTTAGCGTTCGTATTTACCTCGATACTTTGCAACTTTCCTAAAATATGGGGGTAAATACGAACGCCACTGTATTTCAGAAAAATCTTAGGGAAAATAAATTTAAAGTATTGCAATTGTTAAACTTATATAAAAACTCAAAAAAAATACGATAATAAACCTATTATGTAATAATGCATCATATATAAATACAAAAATCAAACAGGTTAAAAATTAAAATGCATTACACAATTAAAACCTTCAATAACTTTATCAAATCATAACTGATTTTTGCAAAACTTGGTACAGAAAGTATTTTGGAGTGATTGAATGTAAATACAAAAATAAAAGTCAAATTTTTTAAATTCAAAATGGCGTACTTTCCTAAAACTTATTTTTAAAAATGATCAAATTAGCTAACCCTGAAACCCCCCGAGTAACAATTTTCGAGCGAATCCAATGAATTTTTTAATTCTCGTCCGCCATTTTGAATTTTGAAAAACTGACTTCAAATTGGTAATTAGCGACCCCAAAAACCGTAGAATACCAAATTTTATTAAGATCCTGAAAACCTTTTTTCAACAAACCATTTGGCAAAAAAATTGAAACACTCCTTCGAGAGAACAGAGATTAAGTTTCTGCTTATTAATTACTAACGAGGATACGTATAGAAAGAAAAACTTTTTTCTATGTACTTTTATAATGTTAAAATAATAGTGTAACCAAATAAAAACAATTTTGTGTGGCTTTGATGTAAAAAAAAATTATTAAAAATACCGTTCGGATTTACCCCAGTTTTCCAATTTTCTTGGGTAAATACGAACGGTCTGATATTATTAATAAAATTTTACAGAAGGCAAAAATCAAATATAGTTTCTGTTCTAGTATTCATAACAAACAATTATAAATAATAAAATGAATTTTTAGCTTCTTTTTCTTCAAATAGGAGACAAAATACTGAAAGAGTGTCATCTTTGATTTTCAATCTTTTTTGCAATAATTGTTATCTTTGTTTATGCTGTTGCTAATTAACAAACAAAAAATGGGATAATACTTAGAATCTCTTCAAGAGGATCTGAGGTAAAAATTCTCATATCGAACTTATTTTTAAAAATTTTAATTAAGCTGAAATAATTAGCGGTCGGATTGACCCCCCGTTCGGATTTACCCCGACTGACCCTAATAATAATAATTAAATTGTATAAAATATATAAAATGAAAAAATAATTAAAGTTTATAAAAACGGTAAATGTAAAAATAAATAAATTGATAAAATATGTAAAAATAATCAGAGTATAAAATAATAATTGAATTGTATAAAATATATAAAGTAAAAAAATAATTAAATTAAGGTGTATAAAAACGGTAAATGTAAAAATAAATAAATTAAAAAAATATTCAGAATATATAATAATAATAATTAAATTGTATAAAATATATAAAGTGAAAAAATAATTAAATTAAGGTGTATAAAAACGGTAAATGTAAAAATAAATAAATTGATAAAATATGTAAAAATAATCAGAGTATAAAATAATAATTGAATTGTATAAAATATATAAAGTAAAAAAATAATTAAATTAAGGTGTATAAAAACGGTAAATGTAAAAATAAATAAATTAAAAAAATATTCAGAATATATAATAATAATAATTAAATTGTATAAAATATATAAAATGAAAAAATAATTAAAGTTTATAAAAACGGTAAATGTAAAAATAAATAAATTGATAAAATATGTAAAAATAATCAGAGTATAAAATAATAATTAAATTGTATGAAATATATAAAGTGAAAAAAATAATTAAATTAAGGTGTATAAAAACGGTAAATGTAAAAATAAATAAATTGATAAAATATGTAAAAATAATCAGTATAAAATAATAATTGAATTGTATAAAATATATAAAGTAAAAAAATAATTAAATTAAGGTGTATAAAAACGGTAAATGTAAAAATAAATAAATTAAAAAAATATTCAGAATATATAGGGTCAACCGGGGTAAATCCGAACGCTTTTAGTAAGTTTCAAGAATATCATAAGTTTTTTCTTTAAAAAAAAAATACTTCCGGTATTCTGGTGCATGAAGTTGTTACTTTACTTCCATAGAATAATTTTATGGGGTAGAAAAAATTTTTGATAAATTACAATCGCAGGAAACTTAGCGTTCGTATTTACCTCGATACTTTGCAACTTTCCTAAAATATGGGGGTAAATACGAACGCCACTGTATTTCAGAAAAATCTTAGGGAAAATAAATTTAAAGTATTGCAATTGTTAAACTTATATAAAAACTCAAAAAAAATACGATAATAAACCTATTATGTAATAATGCATCATATATAAATACAAAAATCAAACAGGTTAAAAATTAAAATGCATTACACAATTAAAACCTTCAATAACTTTATCAAATCATAACTGATTTTTGCAAAACTTGGTACAGAAAGTATTTTGGAGTGATTGAATGTAAATACAAAAATAAAAGTCAAATTTTTTAAATTCAAAATGGCGTACTTTCCTAAAACTTATTTTTAAAAATGATCAAATTAGCTAACCCTGAAACCCCCCGAGTAACAATTTTCGAGCGAATCCAATGAATTTTTTAATTCTCGTCCGCCATTTTGAATTTTGAAAAACTGACTTCAAATTGGTAATTAGCGACCCCAAAAACCGTAGAATACCAAATTTTATTAAGATCCTGAAAACCTTTTTTCAACAAACCATTTGGCAAAAAAATTGAAACACTCCTTCGAGAGAACAGAGATTAAGTTTCTGCTTATTAATTACTAACGAGGATACGTATAGAAAGAAAAACTTTTTTCTATGTACTTTTATAATGTTAAAATAATAGTGTAACCAAA